TATACACAGAGAATAGAGTCGGCCCGAGAATTGTCATTTGCGAAACCAAGGCTATTTAGTCTGCCAATAAGAATGCGGTGATTGACAGAGTCGAAAGCCTTGGCCAGGTCGATGAAGACGGCTGCCCAGTACTGGTGGAACAAGCTCCCTCACGACGCCAGGACAGCAGAGTCACTCACCACCTTCCGGAGACACTTGAAACCCCACCTCTTTAAGGAATAACTGGGACAGGATCAAGTAATCCTTCTGCCCCCCCTTACCCCACCCCCACCTGCATGGGCAGGTTGCAGCGGAGGGTGCAGAGCTGGTGGCCGGGGTAGGGGTAGCCAGGTGGAAAGCATGGCCAGCCGTAGCAAAATGCTTATTGCAATTCTCGATTATCGTAGATTTATCGGTGGTGACAGTGTTTCCTAGCCTCAGTGCAGTGGGTAGCAGGGAGGAGGTGCTCTTATTCTCCATGGACTTTATAAATAAATAATAATAAATAATATGCCATTTAGCAGACGCTTTTATCCAAAGCGACTTACAGTCATGCGTGCATACATTTTTGTGTATGGGTGGTCCCGGGGATCGAACCCACTACCTTGGCGTTACAAGCGCCGTGCTCTACCAGCTGAGCTACAGAGGACCACTGTACAGTGTCCCACCACTTTACAGTGTCCCAACACTTTTTGGACTTAGTGCTACAGGATGCAAATTTCTGTTTGAAAAAGCTAGCCTTTGCTTTCCTAACTGATTGTGTATATTGGTTCCTGACTTCCCTGAAAAGTTGCATATCGTGGGGTCTGTTCGATGCTAATGCAGTACGCCACAGGATGTTTTTGTGCTGGTCAAGGGCAGTCAAGTCTGGGGTGAACCAGGGGCTATATCTGTTTTTAGTTCTGAATTTTTTGAATGCTTATTTAAGATGGAGTGGAAAGCACTTTTGAAGAACATCCAGGCATCTTCTACTGACGGAATGAGGTCAATATCCATTCAGGATACCCGGGCCAGGTCAATTAGAAAGGCCTGCTCACTGAAATGTTTTAGGGAGCGTTTTTCAGTGATGAGGGGTGGACGTTGGGCCGCGGACCCATTACGGACGCAGGCAATGAGGCAGTGATTGCTGAGATCCTGGTTGAAGACAGCGGAGGTGTATTTAGAGGGTAAATTAGTCAGGATGATATCTATGAGGGTGCCCATGTTTACGGATTTAGGGTTGTACCTGGTAGGTTCCTTGATAATTTGTATGAGATTGAGGGCATCTAGTTTAGATTGTAGGACGGCCGGGGTGTTAAGCATATCCCAGTTTAGGTCACCAAGCAGTACGAACTCTGAGGATAGATGGGGGGCAAGCAATTCACATATGGTGTCCAGGGCACAACTGGGGGCTGAGGGGGGTCTGTAGCAAGCGGCAACAGTGAGAGACTTATTTCTGGAAAGCTGGATTTTTAGAAGTAGAAGCTCAAACTGTTTGGGCACAGACCTGGATAGTATGATAGAGCTCTGCAGGCTATCTCTACAGTAGATTGCAACTCCGCCCCCTTTGGCAGTTCTATCTAGACGGAAAATGTTGTAGTTCGGAATGGACATTTCTGAATTTTTGGTGGCCTTCCTAAGCCAAGATTCAGACACTGCAAGAACATCAGGGTTGGCAGAGTGTGCTAACGCAGTGAATAACTCAAACTTGGGGAGGAGACTTCTGACGTTAATATGCAAGAAACCAAGGCTTTTACAGTTACAGAAGTCAACAAATGATAGCGCCTGGGGGGTAGGAGTGATACTGGGGGCTACAGGGCCTGGGTTAACCTCTACATCTAAGAGTTGAGGAGAGACTGACTGATCACTTCTTATTTTTATAAGAAACAATGTGTTGAAAATTCCAAAATGTTTGCATAATCAACTTACGCACAGCTCTGACACACACACTTACCCCACCAGACATGCCATCAGTGGTCTTTTCACAGTCCCCAAATCCAGAACAAATTAAAGAAAGCGTACATTATTATATATTGCATGGAACTCCATTCCATCTCATATTGCTCAAATGAACATCAAACCTGGTTTAAAAAAACAGATAAAGCAACACCTCACGGCACAACACCTCTCCCCTATTTGACCTAGATAGTTTATGTGTATGTATTAATATGTAGGCTACGTGTTCCTTTTTTAAAATAGATGTAGTTCTGTCCTTTAGCTGTTCTTGTCTATTAATGTTCTGTATTATTTCATGTTTTGTGTGGAACCCAGGAAGAGTAGCTGCTGCTTTCGTAACAGCTAATGGGGATCCTAATAAAATACAAAAGAATACCAAAAATACCCCCCCCCCCCCCATCCCCGCCCTCAACCTCCTCACCCCTCCCCCATATCCCTCCTCCCCTCTCCCTGACCCCCACCTCCTCTCCCCCGCCCCGCCTTCTCCTCCCTGCCTCCCCCAGACACTCATATAGGCCTAAAGTAAAGCATGCAGTCCTAATGCATGTACTAGAAAAATACTGACTCACACCTACAACATTCCCACTGGAATTAAATGCCTCCCACTAAGAGACAGGCTGTTTCAGAGACAGACTTTTTCAGAGTCAAGCTACTGACAGGCTGTTCCAAAACCAAGCTACTGATAGGCTGTAGGGCAGCATGTAGCCTAGCGGTTAAGAGTGTTGGGCCAGTAAACGAAAGGTCTCTGGTTTGAATCCCGGAGCCGACTAGATGAAAAGTCTGTTGATGTGCCCTTAAGCAAGGCACTTAACCCTAATTAAGAGTGTCTGCTAAATTTTTTAAACATAATGTTTCAAAGAAAGGCTATTGGCAGGCTGTTTCAGAGCCAGGCTATTATCTGTCTTAGATCTGTTCATTCATTATTGAGAGACATTAGACAGACTGCTACAGTATGTCAAGAGGGAATGTCCATTCTCAGAGGTGTGTAGGGGAGGGGGAATGTATTCATATCAATAACAGGTACAAGTAGTCATATTGAATACATCAGGTTGAATATGATTGCAATCAGTCACAGAATGTTAACGTACTGTAACTCTGCAGTAACACTAATCAAACAGATTAAGTAATAATACTTCTATGCGTCTGGATGTCTGAAATGAGCCAATAACCAGTGTGTAAATCTCACTGGGTGTTTATGAAGAGCTAAGCAGAGTTCCAGCAGGCGGCTATATTACTATACTGCATCCCAAAAGTAGTGCACTATATAGGGAATAGGGTGTCATTTGGGACACAAGCTGCAGCTGCAGTGGAGGAGATGAATTATGACTGGCTTCCGAGCTGCAAGTCAGCACAACTGTATGCAGCTCCATTACTGTGCTGTAGCAGTTCCCTAACACACAGTTACTGTGGAGTCAGCTACTTAGCAACCCTACACTACATGAAGCAAAGCTCAATTCACCACTCAGCTTAAAGTACTCACATTAGTTCAGTATTCTCAGCTGTAAGTTCTTGTATTTTCACCCCAGACAGATCACGTCAACAGGTCAACTTCACAGCTGATGTTGAGAAAACATATTAGCGCTAGGCCGGGATTCAATCTGTATAACGCTGTCAACAATTAGGTTTTTAAAGGCAATGTCACCACGTTTGCAGATATTGCATCCGTAGTAAACGCTGTAGACGTCGGCTCAATTAGAAATGGCCTTTAAATGACACATTGTCGACAGGCGCGATCGGATTGAATCACGGTCCTAGTCTGGCACTGTCTGTACAATAGCAGAGTCCCTTTCCCATTAAAAGGAGTTGCTTTACTGTGCAGTAATAGCACAGTAATAAGACAGCAATAACACAGTTATAACAGTAACAACACAACAGCATCATCTGATCTGTTGATCCATATTAGGGGACGAGAGGTGCTGAAGCCAAACATCAACAGGCAACAAGCCTCAGGCAGCTGTGACATCTCTACCACAGCTGTGAGGCGCGCGCACACGCGTGTGTGTGTATATGTCTGTGTGTGTGTGTGTGGATTGATTGCACAATCACCAATGAGAGGCCCAGTCATGGTCAACAGGCACACACGCACACGCCTAACAGTGAAACACCAGTCAGATAGAGTTGCCAAGCACTGTACAGCATAGTAGCCCAACCCTGATACCCACTGTATAGAACTGTACTCTATAGCCCAACCCTGAAATCTATCAGTCTCACTTAGCAGCACAGAGAGCATATTGGCCTCATAAACCATCAACTGGAGAAACAATGATATTGACCTGGAAGTGCGTGACTGGAAAACTCTTGTCAATACTTTCTAATTCTACCATAATTATTTAATGAGACAGTGAAGTTAAACTGAACAGGATGAACAGGATGAACCGCAGACATTACAGATGGATCACTGAATGCATTTCATCTGCATGATATTGATGATAGAATATACAGCTACTATCTCCCGGTCATGTCTGGGCCATACGAGTACCTGCACCATTCTCTAGCCTTCCTCAATAGCACTGACATACACACTGTTCTGCAACACTGAGCCACACATACAACATTCCCACTGCACCACTCTGCCGCAGAGGCTGTTCCTTAGCAACCAGCCCAGGCAACCAGATCACCATAGAAACCATCCAGGAGAGAAAAAAGGAAAACTACATTGGAGTTTCATTGATAGAACCACTATAAAAGAGGAGAGACTGACTATTAATAGGCATATCACAACTACACAACATGTTTCCCAACTCTACTTGCCTCTTTCTTATTCACTTCTCCTATTTACTCTCTCTAGTAATCCTGTGTTCAGGACTCTGTGTGTTAAAGGTCTGTGTTCACGGGATTTATACCATATAGTCATCTGGTCATAAAGGCTATACTTCAAAAAGATTTAAAAATCATCCATTGGTCAATGTGTGAAAATGTCTCAGTGAAACTGTGCTCCTGAAACGCCTACTGACTGGGTTAGTAAAGGATGTCAAACACAGCAGACTGAGTCCCAGAAACCTACTTCTAACTCTGCTAATTGCCTCATAGCCCATCCCTCTGAGTCTGTGGGGAAAGCTAAGCCTGAGAACCAGGCAGTAACTTCACTAATATAACCATATTTCATAACCTACCAGTTTCCCGTCCAAGGTGTACAGTCTCTTGACGACCCCAGAGTCCAGCTTGATGGCGTCTGTGATGTCAGAGAGGACCTGTACGAAGGAGTGGGCCGTCTTCTTGTTGAGGAGGATGCGGACGGCCTTACGAGGCTTCACCCCGCTCCGGACGATGGTGACCAGTTTGGGCCGGATGAAGTCCTTACTCTCCCTGGTGTCCGGGGCCCCAGCCTTGGCACTGCCCAGGGAGGGGGGGCCACGCACAGAGGCAGCCGCAGCTGTCTTCACTCCAACTGACCAGTTGGGGTTGACATTCTTAGTGTAGTCCAGCTTCTTGTATGGCTCTATGGAGCCACACACATAGCTCTCTCCTGCAGGTAGGCAACACACAGAGATAGGCCTACATGGTCACAGCAACCATGGACTGACCTCACTGCATGCACTACAGAATGACACAGCTATGAGATTTAGATTATAGATTTTACAGACCTACTGGAAATATACTAGCCTATCGGCCTACTATATAGGCCTACTGGAGCAGGTCACTCATTGTACAGTGGGAAACCTAGACAAATTCACAACTTATTTTGTTCTCAGACTTCTACTGTCCCATCCCTTAGGGTTAGCTGCTCAATACTGTCCCATCCCATCCCTTAGGGTTAGCTGCTCAATACTGTCTCATCCCAACCCTTAGGGTAGGGTTAAGGTTTGGCTTACCTTCCTCCAGCTGCTCCATGCCGGATATTCTCTTGGTCCCATCGATAGAGTAGATGGTCCGGACCCCCTGGGGAAGGTTCACATTATCTGACAGGGAGCGGGTCAGATCGGCCAACAGGGCTTCTATAGACCGGAACCTGTCCTGGGAAATAGCGTAGACAATCCCTTTGAAGTAGCGGTCTCCGTTGCGATAAAAGCGGACCTTCTTGGCCTTCTTCTCCGAGGCCAGGGACTGCAGTGTTCGGGTCCTGTACAGACTACAGTGGGCACTGTGCGTGGGGCTCGGCAGCCCGTTGTTCCTGGAGCCTCTGCGGGTGTTTCTCTGGGCTTTCTCCCGCTCGTCAAAGTGCTCCAGCTCCATGACTGTAGTGATGTTACACAGAAAGAGCCAAATCGGGGAGGGGAACATTATGGACGAGAACATTTAAACCTCAAGCATATTTTCCTTTGCAGAATAAACAAGTCATCCTTTAGTTTTAGTTGAATGTCATATATGCCTACTGGAGAGAGTAGAATCAATTGGATTTCTGCATGAACTCTGAGGCCGCGGCCGACATTTCAGTGGTGCTGAATGGACAGTGATGCAGGTGCGGTTCTGCTAGCAGCTAGCTAGTCTGACAGGTAGCCTATAGCGGTGGCAGTAGTCAGAATGAACTCCCCGGTGCTGAAGGGACAGCGCCGCTGGCTAGCCAGATAGAATTAACATGTTTGTGGGCAGTTTGTCACATACTGAAAATGAGCTCTTTCTGAGGGACATAAAAATCTGATTGTAGGCTATAGCACGCTCACGCATGTCATGCTCTCTAGTTTCGTCCACCACCCAATTGGCAATGTGACGTTTGTTTTCATCATATTAATTTCTGACAACATAACCCAAGCTATTGTTAAATGACACGGAACAACACATTATGGCATCTTAAAATATGTTTTGGGCAAAAAACTACTTACCTTTAATTAAAGTCTGATGCAGTCAACCGCGTCAAATTTTAGCAATTGCATATATCAGCTCTCCAATAGACTATGTCAGTGCTGATATGTGTAGTATAATCGCCCGAGCGGTAGAAAAAGCATCGGTCCCTTTGTTGCCCAGTGATTGAGCAAGTGTGAGCTGCACGAGCTGCAGCTGCTTTCTGTCTCTTTAGCAGTGATTTCCAGATGGCCGTCCCTCATTGACATGCAGGCCTTCCTAGGGAAGCACCAAGCATCTCACCTCGCTAACACGCGCCCTCCTCTCTCATCTTCTCTCCTCCCATCTAGATGCGCTGAAACAAGTGGCGTGGTGCAGGCGGTCATTACTCTACTAGTCCCTCAGTGCACTAACTGCACTGACAGACACGAGGCTTTTCAGCAACATTGTTGTTCATAACGCAGATAGATTGATACAGGTTTATGTGACACAAGCCCTTTTCTCTAGACAATGCAGGGTAGGTTAGAGTTAAAGACCCCCTCCACCCATAATCAGTGGAGTATTCCAGAGGTATGTCCCAAATGTAATGGCAGCCTATTCCCTATATAGTGCACTACTTTTGACCAGGGCATAAGGGTCTGGACAAAAGTAGTGCACTAGAGAATATGGTGCCATTTGGTAAGCATACATGAGACAGCATGGGCATCTGTATGCTGGTGCTGAGGAGGATGTCTAGCAGTGTCTGCAGTAGTGTACTATACTGCATGCACAAACACAGGACAACCAAACACAAACCTGTCTGTAACAACATAATAATGATAAAGAGAGGGAGAGAGAGAGATACAGAGAGAGAGAGATACAGAGAGAGAGAGATACAGAGAGAGAGAGAGAGAGAGAGAGAGAGAGAGAGAGAGAGAGAGAGATACAGAGAGAGAGAGAGAGAGAGAGAGAGAGAGAGAGAGAGAGAGAGAGAGAGAGAGAGAGAGAGAGAGAGAGAGAGAGAGAGAGAGAGAGAGAGAGAGCGAGAGCGAGAGAAAGAGAATTAACAGAGCTGATTGTCAGATCATTAAAAACACCCTCAGGGTATGTTCAGTACAATTATTGATGATTGGGCAGACAGGTGGAAAATACAGTGGTGACCTGATGGTTGCCTAACTCAGGACTGGTTTAGGGAGACAGAGAGCTGTAATGTTGTCTAACTCAGGGGGTAGTTGTGTAGGGACACAGAGAGCTGTAATGTTGTCTAACTCAGGGGGTAGTGGTGTAGGGAGACAGAGAGCTGTAATGTTGTCTAACTCAGAGGGTAGTGGTGTAGGGAGACAGAGAGCTGTAATGTTGTCTAACTCAGGGGGTAGTGGTGTAGGGAGACAGAGAGCTGTAATGTCTAACTCAGGGGGTAGTGGTGTAGGGAGACAGAGCTGTAATGTTGTCTAACTCAGAGGGTAGTGGTGTAGGGAGATAGAGAGCTGTAATGTTGTCTAACTCAGGGGGTAGTGGTGTAGGGTGACAGATATATGTAATGTCTAACTCAGGGGGTAGTGGTGTAGGGAGACAGAGAGCTGTAATGTCTAACTCAGGGGGTAGTGGTGTAAGGAGACAGAGAGCTGTAATGTTGTCTAATTCAGGGGGTAGTGGTGTAGGGAGACAGAGAGCTGTAATGTTGTCTAACTCAGGGGGTAGTGGTGTAAGGAAACAGAGAGCTGTAATGTCTAACTCAGGGGGTAGTGGTGTAGGGAGACAGAGAGCTGTAATGTCTAACTCAGGGGGTAGTGGTGTAGGGAGACAGAGAGCTGTAATGTCTAACTCAGGGGGTAGAGGTGTAGGGAGACAGAGAGCTGTAATATCTAACTTAGGGGGTAGTGGTGTAGGGAGACAGAGAGCTGTAATGTTGTCTAACTCAGGGGGTAGTGGTGTAGGGAGACAGAGAGCTGTAATGTTATCTAACTCAGGAGGAATAAGGTTTTGAAGTGTCTGTCCTAGATCTAGGAGATATAAGAAAGCTCAGGAAATATTTAAGTTTTTTTCTCGACACATATTTAACCCTTTATTTTTGTTGCCGCAAAACTCCCTCCATACTTCCATTCATTTGTATGGGTTACCTTCAGACGAGTCCCATGACACTTGTGAGGGTTGTAGAGCAAAACAGAGAAAACCATCATGCTCGTAAGAGTCTCATCTTTCCATAGAGTGGTCATAGGCCAAACCGTTTGTAGGCCAAAAGGTTCGGATGCTACAGACGTTTTCGTGAGAAGACCAATTTTTGGGATGTCTCATGGTCTGACAAACATTGCTGTAGCTCGGCCAACTTTCACTGCATATGCGGAAGGCCGACATAAAGGAATGTGGTGAATTGAGACGCAGCCCATGCAAATATGATATATTTAGCTTAAACTGACAGATTTTGATGGAGATTTTGACGGGTGCGTCAATAGACTCTTAAGGATTAACAACTTATAAAATATGAAAACAACAATAAATTATAAAATGTCTCAAGATGTTCTAAGACTGATGTCTCATTGTATTTCAAAGAGGTGTCTATAGACTGTCTTAAAGAAGTCTTCATTTTCTAAGACATCTTAAGACATGTCTCGAGACGTCTCAAGACATCTTAATTTATATTTCTTAAGATGTCTCAAGACATGTCTTAAGATGTCTCAAGACATGGTGATGTCCAAAGATGATGGATATACTGACAAGTTACATGTCTCTCCGCCCTAACAATGGGAGTCGTTGTCCACAAAGTGGCACGGGAGGCTGTCCAGCTCCCTCCTATCCTTTCTTTGGATTGGTGGATACATCTCATTATTGTAATCCTTTTTTGAATACTTGATAAGGGTTGTTGACATCTACCGCCTGTATTCAATGGAGAGAGATGCTATGCTACTAGCATCATGCCATGAATATGACAACTCTGATATAAAGTGTTTTTTTCTCAAAGTTGCCGGGATGTCACGTATCCTACTTATATCAGTACACTCGTAACAACTTTAAGCATTATGAAACTTCTATTAGATCAAATAAACCTCATGTAGCAAATAAGCCATAAATGTTTGTGTTGACCAAATTCGACACTCTTTCATTGACCTCCATACTAAAATTCCTTGCTTGGTGGGCGAAACAACGAAAAAATGCCACCTGCTGGAGTGAGACAGATTTTCCGCCGAGTTGGGCCTCTCTTCGTCTTCGTTTCTGTGATGGCTGGGTACGTAGGTTACTCGTGGGCGTAGTTTTGCGCCAAGTTTGGTGTGGATAAAAAGGACGCCTGGCAGGCAGGCCAAAATTCCATCCCACCAAAACAGGCTGAAATTTCACGCGGTCTTTTCAAACAGCTTTTACACTAAAAGGGCATTATCATAATAATGTTCTAAATTTCACATTATTATTCCAACCCTGTGGAAATATATACTGAACAAAAATATAAACGCAACATGCAACAATTTCAACGATTTTACTGAGTTACAATTAATATAAGTGTAACAGTGTTATATTGGTGATTCCCCTTGCCACTTTATTGTTAAGCCAATGGGTTTTTGGTTTTGTCTTGCCTTCACCTACTCAACATGGCATCTTATTGGCTGGTTGGCGTAGCTTGCTTACGACGGAGGATGTTTCAGTTAGAATCGTCCCAGTGAAGAAGCACCAAACCAGCGTTAAGTTGTTGGTTGCAAAGCACTGTAAGTCAAAAGTGATTTTTATACTCCCAAGTGATGATGTTAATGATGTTATTCGAACATCACACATAAGATGCAGTGTTTTTTGGTGAATATTTGTTGTAGAGAATTCCAGCTAATACTAGCTAGCAACTTACTGTGTCTGGTGGGGGGTTTGTATATTTTGTACAGTGCGTGAGTGCAGAGTTGGATGGTGAGCCGTGCATTGCATGACGTGCAATTTTGTGCTGTTCCTATCAGGTACATTGTTAAAGATATTATATTGTAATTGTATTATTTTGGTAACTACATGGCCCAGTGAACAAGCACCAAACCAGCGTGCGTGAGTGCAGAGTTGGATGGTGAGGCGTGCATTGAATGACATGCAATTTTGTGCTGTTCCTATCAGAATAAAGCTCCATGACTGGTGTTAGAAGATGGAGTTCGTGTTGGTGATTGATTGTACACAATGCAAGAAGAGTACTGTTACAGTGGTGCCGTGACCGTTCTTCTGGATCAGATCACCCTTCGCTGGATTTCCATCTCAGAACTTCGCCGTGGTTGCCGTTGAAGAATCAGATAAGACGTTGTTGGTGCAGTTTATGGCAATATCGCATTTCGCCACAAGAGGGCGCTTACATTTTTATTAGTGTGTTGATTTCCAATTGTTAAGATGGAAGGTGTTGGGAGAGGTAGGGGTTTCCTGACATTTAATCTGTCACCATGCGTTGGTAGGGGTTCAGCCAAAATTCCAGTTGCTTCTACACCTCTGCCTAAACTGGAGGGTTTTGGGAGTTTTGATGATAGTTTACCCATGGAAATGGCCAAAAATGTGTATGAAAGAGTTTTGCC